CTCACCGACGACCTAGCGGCAACACTGCCCACGTTTGACGACAATGAATTCCTCGTCTCCGGTCCGAGATGGTTTTGGGCTCTGTCTCAACAGCGGAGTCGAATAGCGCGTTTTTGTCCGTCCATCAAGGAAACTTCACCACAACCATGAACTCGTAGACTCGGAAGCATTCGCAGCAGAGACACCACAAGCTCAATAAAGGTTTGTAAGTGCTGGAAGGAACAAAACTCGAGCTCGTGGAGAGAAGGAAGACGCATTGGTCTTCTCGTAGCGTTTACCATTAGATGCTTATAAGCCGGTCGGGCAAAAACCTGGAGAACATTTTTGTGCTTCCACCTCATACCCAGGCTGTATTTTTCCTTTTTCCTCAAGGATGAGTCGTTGCCGCAAGCGAGCCGTGTTTGGACGCTCGGCCGGCCAGCCGTCGCCCGAATCCGCCGTATAGACAATCGCAGTCCATGGAGGCGATCGCCCCAAAAAATAATCACATGACAACCTGTCGGAGTCTCCGCCGACCGATAACTGAAATGCTAGGCGGTCCCGTTCACAAGTCGCCACGGGACCGAGACGGCGATTGGATCCCGTACAGGCGTATCACATGGAAAATCTTTCCCCGAGTGAGGACGAGCCATATGAATTTCAGAGTTGGAACTCGGACTTCGTGGGAATGATTCCCGGGTAAACCTGAATTATTTCTGCATTTTGCATTGATAGAGCATCGATAGAGACAAAGGTTGCGATGCTAGGTGTTGGAGATGGGGAGAAAATTTTAGCTAATATAGATTTGGAATGCCTACCGAGTCGCAGGTTGGATAAACGATAGATCTGCCGCGAAAAACTAAGTGAATCGATCGGACTCCGCGGAAAGCTTGGAAATGGGACTAGCGAAATCACTCAGTCTCCGCACGAAAGCGCCTGACGCGTAATAAACAACGATGCTGTTGACGAGGAGCTCTTCTCAGACAATTTAAGTCGAGAAATTCTGTTTGGCTTTGGACCTGCTCGTAATGGCGGTGCTGTCAACGCCGGCTTCTCTTCGCCTCGAAGCCGGCGGAGCCTCGTCCATTCTCAGCATTCTACCGAAAGGTTCAGCACAACTTCGCTGAAATTCCCAGTAACAGGGCGAGCAGATCGCGGGGGATACTGATGCATGCAAAAGGACGTTCGGGCGCCGGTCCATTCGTGAGCCCTTAGGACGCCGGCGCGCCGGTCCGGTTGAGAGCGAGCCATTCGATCACGGACTCGGCGATCTCTTCGAAACTCTGGCGACTCCTCCCAGCAAAACGCTCGGTTCTTCGGGACCTTCCTGGTTTCCGATAATCACCACGAACTCCGAATGAACTATGAAAATCAGAGTGGATTATCTCTCCGTTTCAGCGAGAAGCATGTGGAACATGATTCCAAGGTCTGGTAGTCGTCCTGGTAATCGTCCTCTGAACGAGTACGTCAATGTAGAGTCAGTCGGTTTAACACGCTCAGACGACAGCACCAGAGACGCTGTCATTTTGTTTTAATCCTTCTTTTTGAATCATTCGTTCATCCCAGACCCCTCGTTCCGGCATGCCTCGTTGATACGGTCGTTCCCGCATTCCCGCGTGAGTTCTACTATCATGGAACGTCCCACGATACCCCATCGGTCAACCTTCCGCTCTGGGCTAACCCACATTTTGCCGTTTCCTCCTTGCTTCCTCTTGTTGCGCCGGACGGGATTGACATTCCCATCTCTGCGAGAGGGAAAATGAACCCCGTATGTATATCGTTCCATGACCAAATACGGCAAGGATCTGCAAATTGCATTCAGAGAAAGTGCGAACTCCGCTGGAGGAGCTCGTGCGGGGCACCACGACCACAGCTGGGGAACCCGCACTCGGAGAGCAGCAAAGATGGGGGGATAATTTGATGGGGACAGTCAGAAATTTTCGGGATCGAGCTGGAAAGGGCCGGCGCTGAGACGGCTCGCACCCGAATGGACCGACGCTTGAATAGGTTGGCGCCCAAATGGCTCGCGCCGAGAGAGCCGCGACCAAACGGGGTGCACCGGATACTCGGCGCGAAAGAATCATCCAGGGATCATACTGAGGATTCCGATCACTTCATCATCGGATAAACACTCCGACCACTGAGGCCGCGCAGTGGTCAGAATGAGCGATGTCGTGCCGTAGCTTCTCGAACTCTCGACTTAGACGCAGATATTTGCGTACTTCATCTGCTCAAATTAGAAGCAGGGTGCATCAGCCATTCCTTCCTTCTCCATATGGACAAATCCTCTATCTCGCTAAAATTCGCTTCCCGGAATCCGCGCCCATCGAGTTTCGGTCGCGATGGGCTCCCAAAGATACCGGCGTCTCCCGCACCTAATCAGAGAATCCGCTTGGCAGGGAGGCTCTTAGACAAATGTGGAATAATATTCGTAATGTGCGGACTTAAGCAAATTCGTGCACCTCACGTTCCGGGCAATGGTACGCTCTCTTCGTTTGAGGTATCTCTCGACTTTGCGCGTCCTTGATCAATTTCGACTTTGTTGGAGGAATACGGGGGCATGAAGATATCCGGTGGAGGTCCCATATGTTGATTCCGGGGCCAGTGAGGACGTTCCTACATATTTTGCCATACTCGTTGATCTCGAGGACCCTGCATCCGATTGCGGAGAACCGGGATTTATCACTCTGGGCCTCGATGATTGACGCGGCTTGATCTCAGCGGATCGAGCGGTTTTCGTTCGGATCACGCTCGGCCACGATAGAGCATGCTGTCGTCTGGCGGACGCAGCGAGGAATAGCCCGGCAGTAAACAAAGATACTGGATCGGCAGCCGGTATGGGACTTACATCCGGTGAATCACGGGCATTCGGAGTGCGATCAAGATGGTTTCGCAATCAGAGCACGATGATTTTTTATTTAGTGAACTCTGCGAGGGATCGACGCGGAAGGGAAACCCCCATGGATTACCCCGAGCTCGACATGATTGAGATGCCTCACCGCATACGGTAACGCTCTGAAGAGTAAAAGAATGAAAGCGTGAAATTAGATTTTTCAGGAGCCGATTCACTGATCGTGAGACGGCAGGAGCCTCTTTCATGGAAAGCTCCGTCCCGCTGATCGGAGAGGAATGCCGTTGTGTGGCAGAAAACGGGATCATATCCGGCTAGCTCAGTTTCGCGAGCCATAGCAGTTTTTCCCCAAGCGATGGTCCGGATTTCACTGTTTCTGGAAGTTCTCCACGAACCGCGGGGACGGCTTCGCTCCTTGGAGAGGGAGTCAGGCTGTGAGGATGAGGCGACTTTCCGAGGCCTCGCCACTGCAGCCAGGGCTGGACGTTTTCAGGGCGAACGTTTTTCCTACTCTCCGCCGTTGGCTGTGATTGGTTCTCTGGGTGAATCGCGATAAATTGATTGACCAGAAACGCATGAATATCCAATGAGGGATGTGATCGTTCTTTTCGTCGTGTCTAAAGCACATCTATATTCAGGGTCTTTGGCTGGCCCCTTCCCACGGGGGAGCTGTGCGCATGCTTCCGACGGATGACAGCTCGGTTTGCCCCGCCTCGAGCTGGTATCTGTCCCCCAGGACTCCGGACCTTCGATCGGTCAGCTCCGAAAGGTTCTATTCCATTCGAGTCGATTCCTATCACGGTGAGAAGACCGGGGGATTTCAATTTGCGGCTCGAGACCGTCCGTAACGCGACATCACGAATGAGATTCTTGCGTCGCCGGACCCGACATCTGTCAAGGTCGCGGTTCTCATCGCTCCTCCTGGAACTTCGCCGATGAAGCCTACGATTCACTTGGACACAACCGCGTGTCATCAGCGACTCGACATGAACCAAGTGGCGGGTCTCGCTGAACACAGCTCCTAATTTCATATTGACACGAGCTCGACCGAAAACTTCAATTGTTGAAAGCAATCCATGGATTCGATCACCTCCGATGCTGCATCCTTCTATAAAATTCCGCAGGGTTCCGGAAACACTTTGTCCGAGCTATGTGGATGATGGTATGGAACAATTGGCGCTGTTCAAGTCCCGGAAAGAATGTCTTCCGCCCAGCGCGCTTCCCAGATGTGCCATAGTGACTGCGAAGTCGCGTGCGCATCGATTCGGATTAGAACTCTACTCGGTTTACCGTAGTTTCACCCCTAGATATGTACAACAGTACAAGTCTTCACCGAGCAGAGTCCAGTGGGCTTCGACTTCCACTCTGAGGAGCTCCTGAAACGTATCCGCCACGGCTCTCTTATTCCTGCCGTACAGGTAGAGAAGCTGGAGCTCGCCGGGATTCGAGGACCCGTGACTCGAGCTTCGTCCCTCAGGCTTTTAGGTGCAGTCTCACCCATATCTGCTTCAACGTCTTGTGGATATTGGTGTCGGCGATGGGTTCTCTCTTCGAGATGTCTATCGACGTTCGGATGCTTTCTCGACTTGATTAGCGATTTCTCATGCAGTAATGGTCTCTTCTCGCCTTAAATACTCTGAGAGGATCAGGTCCTGGAGTGCCATTTGCCGAATCGCCGTTTGAGTTTCACCCTGGGCGTGCCCGTGTGGGACATTCCGATAGGCAATCTCCGCGAAAACCCGGAGCTAGGCGCGCTCCGACTCGCCCTACCTGACTCTCGATGAGTTCGTCGACTCGACAGCCTTGCGACGCGGCGGGCTCCGGCTGATGCCGTCCGCGATCAGTGTATCCCGTGATGCTTCGACGACCTCGATCATATCCTTGGAGAGCGAGTGCATCCGGCTTACAATTAGTCTCGTCAGAACGTTGTCCGCACTCAAGATGGTCTCCAACGTCATGAGCACCTATTTTGAATCGCGCGCTTCAGAATTTCGTCTGCAACGGTCCCGTACTCCGGAGCTCTCGCCACCAGTGAGAAGCTCATCTAAACAAACACGAATAGCAGGATGGCGCGGTTTAGCATTGATCCGAGACGCCTTCTCTTTCACTCAAAATGAAACAGTGGCGTACACTTTCTGCGTCTTGAACCCTCGCTCAGAGCCGCTCACAAATGTACAAACGGAAGCGAAGAAAAACCACTCAAATAAAAGTAAGCAAACGAGTTTCTCCCCAGTATTTCTAAGATTGATCACGACGGGTAATATCTGTAGGTCGAGAGAGTCCCGACTTTCCCAACGAACGCTGAGGATTCGCGGATACTCGCTCCAGGCTCCGACGTCTGATGTTGACGACCGGACCTTATTTCACAGATGGCTGACGACTCTATGGATCTTTTCGACACAACTCTAAATGACAATCCTCAACGAACGCCCCTCAGGTCTCTGAGCAAAAATGTGACGCTAGCTCTGAATACACAAGACACCGTATTGAGCATGTCGATTCTCGATCAGGTGAGGAGATGCATAAATATGTGCCGAATCAGTTTTCGAACGAGCGATCCTCGTTGATCTGTAGGAGTCGATATTCACTTGTTCGCGCTCGGGCCCAGCCAGTAAGGGTCGCTCCGATTCGGGTGTGCGCTAGGCACCTTATCCTGGCGAATATTAGGATACATGCAGACTTTTGCAGACATTCATTCTGTTGAAACAACACTCGGCGAATCAGATGTGTTCTGTGATATCGTCCGAGGATCGTTGGTGATTCTCTTGAGTTCCGAGATTGAGAGAGGGTTCCCAAACATGCCAGAAGACCTGCCAACAACCAACAAGGTTCAAAAAAAACTTCGTCGTCGATCGACGTTCGTCCGTTGATAATCATCATCCCATTGTACCTACTCCCTGGAATCTGTCGTTGACCGTGACGTGCCGGAATTCTGCCGAATCGAGTCCACACCATTGCTTCGCTCTGTGATTCAGAACATCGAAACTTGTGGAAGTGCCTTCGAGCCTATCTATCAGTGGATCTAGGTCTTGGGGCTCCAAATCAGGAGGCTCTCTTGAAATCGCAGTAACGAAGCACTAACTAGTCTCGCAAGGTTTCGGCCCCACCGATCGTGTATCCATGTCGCGGGAACGAAGAAGAACGGAACCTGTATCAATCATGCTCCTCCAGGTGAAGGAACGTCTCCGATACAATCAGAAGGTGCACGAAGCCACTCAAATATTCGTCGAGGAATCCCAGAATGCATCGCTCTTGGGAGGAGCTGCTTGCGACGGGGACTTTTTCGGGCTGCCTTCAAATGTCAAAGACATCCTATTCAAAGAACGAGGTAAGTTAGGAATCCATTCGGAGTAGGGAACTTCCCCGCGGATTGGTAGAGGGCACTGATTTATTTTCTTTTTCATTCGCTTCGTTGATCGTGATCAGGTATCGGCTCCTTATACGATTGGCAGAAAGAGTGCTTATCGCTTCCCGCTGTGGAACGTCGCCAGAACCTCATATACTCCTTACCCACAAGCGGCGGGAAGACTCTTGTCGCTGAGATTTTAGCTTTTAAAGTAAGTAGCTTTCAAAGCTTTCAATTTGTACTCCTACTCGCCGAGTCGATGAGTCGTTCTGGGAGATAACAGATAGCTGCGACTAAATCTCCGTAAATCTCAGGAACTCATCGTCCATCGGAGGAATGTCCTCTTCATTTTACCCTATGTATCAATAGTGCAGGAGAAAGTCAGAGCGCTCGCGAATCTTGGTAAATTTTCCGTGGAATGAATCCCATTACGGGCAGGTAGCTCCTATATATCAAAGCTTTCATGGTTGAGCCCGTTTCTCTGGTGAAATGAATTCCCTTTACTTGCAGGTATTGAACTCGGATTTTTAGTAGAAGAGTACGCTGGGAGCATTGGCAAGATACCCCCAGTCAAACGGAAGAAACGTCCGTCCATTTACGTGGCCACCATTGAGAAAGCCCATTTCCTTATTAATGCATTGGTTCGTAGTGGATCAGGCGACGAGCCGCCAGTTTTGCCTGACCCCGAGTCTCAAATACTAGTCGGTGCGCGGCACTTCTGGATTGGCCGCCGCGGACGCGGCTCACGGTTCGAACTCGATACCTCTAGGACAGTGTCATCACTAATTTCGAACCACTTTCTCCCCCGCAGATAGAAGCTCAACGCCTCGAAGAGTTGGGTCTTGTGATAATAGACGAGCTGCATATGATCGGCGATGGGAGCCAGAGAGGAGCCGGCCTCGAGGTTCGTCATAGAAGCAAGCAAGGAGCTCCGTTCGATCTTTCCGCACTCCCAACCTCCATAATCGATCAATGTGGATAACACGTTTCAGGTTCTGCTCGTGAAACTGAAGAAAATGTCGAATGCTCAGTTGATTGGTATGAGTGCAACTATAGGCAACATCAACGAAGTTGCTGGGTGAGATAAGTTCACGTCCGATTTCTCGCCGTCATAGAGTAATGGCAAGCTCGCAGACTGAAATAGCTCCACTCTTAGATTTCTGAATGCCGAAATATATCTGGGGAGTTTCCGTCCGGTTGAACTCATTGAACACATACTCGTCGAACGCACTGTGCTCGAGGTAAGGCATGAGCTCGCGAACGAATATAAATCAAGAATTACACGACATGTGGAGACCTTCGTCTACCGCATCATTCAAGGTCACGAAGTCATTCGAGTTGCGACTGAAACGCAAATTGACTCGTCCAACATCGGAGGAACAGGAAAAGTGCGATCCAGACCATGTGACGGTGAGTGCGGACTTCTGCCCCGGCGAACTCTAGTTTCTCATGATATGACGACGACGGATGCTTCGATTAAAAAAATCCGTCCCTACCCAGATCCTCGTAGAAGAGTTGATTCCGACTTCATCAGTGCTCGTATTTTGCCCAACGCGGAAAAACTGTGAGAGCGTTGCATTGAACCTGTCGAGATTCTTGAAACCCGAACTGAGGGATTTTCGTGTAGAAAATAAGGTGCGTGTCTATAAACTCGCTCCATCGCCGCAAAATATTGATTTTCCTCCTACCAATGCATTCTTGCTATCAATTCATTGGCCGATTGATTGATCCGCTCGCTTCTGTATAGGCTCAAATCATTCTTTGAACTCCACAGATTGGTCTTCTGAAAGCTCTGTCGGCTGAAGCCGGTCGTATCTGCCCTGTTCTCCGGAAAACAATACCTTTCGGCGTTGCCTATCACCATAGCGGATTGACCAATGACGAGCGAAAGCTCGTAGAGGTACTGGGGAAGCCCACGATGTCTGATTGTCCTCGTTGGCTTGTTCGAATGTAACTGAGAACGGAGACGTCGCAGAAGCGTCAGCTATTCTTTAATGGACATGACCATGCGTTACAGGAAGCTTACATTGTTGGAACCTTATCGTGTTTGTGCTGCACGTCAACATTGGCTGCCGGCGTCAATTTGCCTGCCAAACGTGTCATCCTCAAGTCCCCTTATGTCGGTGTCGAGTTTCTCACCTCAGCCCGCTATAAGCAAATGATTGGGCGTGCTGGACGTGCCGGGCTCGACTCTTCCGGTGAGAGACTTATTTCGACAGCATTATATTGATGCTAGAATCGGGCATTATCTTATCAGCTATAGATTTTCGAAGCTTCGTTGGAACCCAGATTTCGGAATTTTCAGGAGAGAGTATCCTGATTTGCAAGGCATCAACGCGAAGTTCGGTAATTGGAATGTCCCATTTTTTCGAGCTTTCGTTCAGCTTCGATGTGGATGGCGATCGCGAGACTGAGAGTCAATGTGTGAATAACTCATCATGCAGAGGGAACGCCTCTTCTCCGTTTTAGGTTATGAAGCTACTGCGTTCCCCGATCGAACACTGCCGATCGAGTGTTACTCTCGAAACACTTGAAGCGTTGGCGATATCGGTTGTGGGAATGGGTGTCGTCACGAGTACGGCGGGGCTCGAAGACATTTATCGAGAATCCCTCTTCTGTCAGCAGAACAGCGAAAGGTATTCATCTTGATGCCTAAGCCAATTTCACTTGTTTCAAAATCACTATACCGGACGGTGTTTTCGGTCGCTAAGAACGCGCTCTCATTCCCTCAGAGACGCGTCAGAACTCGTTCATGAGGTGATACAGAGCCTCGAGGCAGAAAAATTGATTTTCGTCGATGAAAAGGGCAAACTCACGGCGAGCCCGCTTGGTAGAGCGAGTTTCAAAGGTAGAGGCATCGAATCCCTCCTTATCCAAGATCTGAGATCCTAGAACGACACCTGTGGTGTTCGAGTCGGGGCTTCCGACGTACTGAGCGCGGCCTGTTCTTATAGGCGTTGTAGAACCTCATAGAGTGACTTCCTTGCATCGGGACCTTCGAATGGCGATGGCACATTTATCGCTTACCACACATCTGCATCTAATTTACCTCATCTCACCGAGCGACATGGAACCTTCAAGGTATACGCTGGTTTAGATTCCAGTGACCTCGCAGCCACTCAGTCTAATGAAACTGCGGCGTATCTCTCTCGATAAAACTTCTTATCAGACAGAGAACGGTAGAATTCACTCGCCTGTTTTGTAGGTTGGACGGGATGCTGTACATGGATCTCTACAATGAACTGACCGAAGAGGATCGCCAGGTGCTAGGGGAGATGACCAGAAAGCAAATCAATGGCGGGGAATCTGGAATGAAATCGATCGAGTTTCATCGAAGTCTGTTTCAGGGTCTAATGTGCCCTGTTTTGCATTCAAGGTCGCTGAGACGATTGGCATTACCGAAAATTTGGTCGTGCGGCTCAGGCTGAACAAACCCATCAAAGGTGAGCTAGGCTCTCCGGTTCAAGAACAATGACGCTCGGCCGTTCCCAACCCCTCCCTAGAGGGAGGCTTAAGTGGAATATTCCTTTCTACAGATCACGAACGGAAACTGCTCTCGAAGTTTTATGTTACGCTCCAATTGAACGCTCTCTGGAAGAAGCAGAATGTTTGGCAGGTCGCTGACAGGTGATACGAGCGTCAGTTCTTTCCCTCCCAATATTTTTCTCGAGGAGTTCGCTCAGTACCTTGACTTCACGTGACTTTCGATCCCAGGTTTGAGGAACATCGAGGCTCCGTGCAAAATCTCTTGTCTATGGCGACTGTGAACGCAATGTCCATATCACAGTTTTGCAGCGATCTTCCTGAATTTTGGGCCCTGCGAGATCTCCTACCGTCTTTCGTTAATGAGTGAGTTCGAGAGAGCAAGACATGGTGATTTCCTAGAGCCTCTGCTCCGAGACCGTGTGCGAGCAACCTATCAGAGATCATTTCCACAAGTCTCATGAATTAATTTGCAGATTGTCTCATTGTTCTTCAATGGAGCTCATGAAGCTGATGGAGCTCCCGGCCGTGAAACGAGGCCGAGCGAGGTGGGTATCGGTGCTTCTCATTGCGGAGATAATATCTCCGCTACATATTCATGTCTTGGAATCAAGCGTCTCAAATATTCGAACCCTATTCGCAGGCAACTCTATACCGCGGGCTACAGGAAGGTATCTGATATCGCTAAAGCTGACCCGAAAGAGCTAGTAGAAAAGGTCAGTATCCTCCCAACTCCCTCACATCCCCCTCACTTCCCATTCAATTGTAGTTATCTTTGTTCTTCGAGATACTGTATGCGCGAGAATCGGGCGATTTTTGATGGAAAACTCAAAAGTGATAAATGATTTTCAGCTGGACCATATGCCTTGTAACGTTGCGGCTCAGATCGTCGCCGCAGCTAAACATTATCTTCTCAAGAAAGCCGAAGATCTCCAGGAAGAAGCCGACCAGGTTCTGCAATCGTTTATCACAGTTTGATCGTGGGAGGGGTTCACGTTCTCTGGGCTATACAGCTCTACGACATGGAGGACAGCTCTGTACATTTTCAATAAACCTGTTGCCCAGGCCTTGTGGTTTAGCATGGAGGAAGGCAAACATATCCGTGCTACTGTTGGTAAAATCCGTTCGCGTCCACCGTTCAAGATACCCCGCCGTCACGACGAATCCGCTCTGCCTAATCAGTTCCTAAAAACTACAAAACAAAGGGGAAAGAATCTAACAGAACAGGCTGAGCTCCGGATGGAGAATGCGGAACGCTGATTCGAGATTGAGTACGGTAAAAAGAGAAATATTTTGAGGGACTTCGGCTCGGTCGAATCTCATTCGAGCCTGCCCCCTCTATTTCACGATTGAAAACGGAGAATCATGAGCGCGGTAGCCTGCATTTCGAAAAGAAAATCGGAGCGGCGACGGGCATTCCCAGAAGAAAATCGGAGCGGTACCGCTATTTTCGTTTTAATCAGCAGGACCGAGGGATAATCCTCTCCTCCTTATTCCGACCCTTTCTCCAAGGATTTGTTCCCGTTGATTCGGTTCTCGTTCGACTTGTTGACTGCAGGCTGCGTATCTAGGAGTCCGCGAGTCGGATATTATGCCGGAGAAGACTTCTGTCTCCCTTGGAGGGAGGTGACCGATACTCCTCCATCAACTCAGGGGTTGAACTCGTTCGAAGACTGGATTTCGCGAATAGGAGAGATTCTCTGTTTCAGCGACTCCGAGAGCGTCCTGCGCGGCGCCTTCGACTACGACGACCTCGTCCCTGGCTCCGGCCGCGACCTCGTCCGAGATGGCCGACATTCACCATCTCGTCTAACAGATTGAGTATGCCGAACATCGCATCCGCGGGATCCTCGCTGTCGATTGCGCGCCGTAATGTCCTTCGCGGCTGATTTCTTCGGGAACGGCTTCTGAAATTTCCGACCAATCCTAGGTTTCGCGTTGTTCCCCGGGGGCTGCCGCGAGCGGACTCCACAGCTGCTGGAGTTGACTCTGCGACAGAGTCACTGTCCTCGCCGAGAGGTCCGAACTGGATCACGATAGTTTCGTCCTCAGAGAAGTCTGGGTTGGAAATACTCGCGAATGGGTTCAACGACCGTAGTCCTGGCGGAGTTTCCATAAAATTCCCGAGATTCGAGAAGCCCAATCGCGACGAGAAGCCACGTGACATTGGTCGCCTCGCGCTTTTCCCGAGGAGTCCCCGCAGCAAGATCGGAAATCGGGATCGCCCGAAAGGCGGAGATCCTGAGGACAAGCTCAAGTCCGAAAGCGGTGTTTGACGAGATGTTCGAGGTCCCCGCGTATCACCGAGGATCTGCATGAGCAGTACACTGAACGGATCCGTCGGTCCCGCGAAGGAGCCTGGAGGATAGTCGGTGCGCACCATCTCCATCGGACGGATCCGCAGCCCGTTTTCACCGAACGAGTTTGCTTCCGATGATATCTCAGCTTCTTTACTATTAGAGGCGAATTTTGCCGAAATTCCCTCCAATTTGGCCTCACCCTGATCGTTCTCATTCTTATGGTATTTCTTGACTTCTTCGGCGGCTAATGCTCCGACAGTATTCGCACCGAACTTCTTATCTTCCACTTCGGGATGGTGACTATCAATTTTTTTCTCCTCGTTTCTCTTCATCTTGTCGTGCGTTCCGAATTTTGAGCTTCGTTGTAGGGAAATTTCGGTGAAGAGTTTGAAAATACCATGGAAATTCATTCTATAACAACACGACATCTGTAAGGGCCAAGGGGGGTCCGCTCCTTTCTCTAAACGTAAGGGGAGGGTGCCGAGTTTCGATCTTTCTGTCATTCCCGTCCTGAGATAAAATTGTCCCCTGCGCCTCTCTCTCTAGTCCGATGCCTGTGGATGCCACAATCAGGGGCGCGCTCAGCAGACGGGAGTTTTTGGGGGCGGTGGACTCACCGAGTTTCGGAGGAGGCCAGACGACCGGAATGATGACGCACCTTGTCGGTGCCATACATATATTCTAGCATTGGGACCAGAAAACTATGAAGTTTAGGGTGCGCGCCTCTGGTTACAATCGACCCTATTTTCTATCATCCCGAGTGTATCCGGGCTCGCGTAGGAGCCCATATCGGTAAAATTGCGACGGGATTCGCTTCATCCAATTCCTGACTTGACAATCTTGCATGGATCAAGCTTCCTGCAGAAATCGGGAAAGCTGTCCAGGCTCGGAAGGCAATAATTCCAGGATCGCTCGTGAGCCGTGAATGCTCCGGCATCCTCTCTCAACTGTCGGCTCTCCCAATTGGCGGCAGAATCGCTCTCCCCGCGAAATCATATGTGGGATGAAGCTCGTAGCCATCAGAGCCTCACCGAGAGTGTAGAATCATTGGGTTAGTTGGAGCTGGAAAAGAGGATGTCTGATTCCGATTTTCTGAAACTCACGGAGCGTAATCGCAAAAAGTATCTGCTCGGGGTAAGTGTCTTGTCTCTGGTGGAGAGCTAGCTTGAACCACCGCATTCGTACCGAGCTGGCGTTCGAGATTCTCATTCGAATTGTTCTTCGAGCTTCATTTCGATAACCACGAAGCTCTGTCTCAATTCAGTATCTTGCCACCCTTGCCGCCAGGAGCGCCGAGGATCCTCTCACGGACGATGTGGAAACCGATCATGAAATGAGTGGCTTCATACACTTCAAGTAAGCTCAGTGAAAACCTCCACTCGGGACGGTATTTCGGTACGACGCTGACGTATATATCAGTCGGTGGGTCGAGCCGACGTGGCGAGTGTTTTCTTTTTATGGAACGGAGCCTCAAATGCAGATCGCAAAAAGAAGTCGAGGACCTGAGGGAAGATGACTCCAGACCGATCTTGAGGAGAATAACAACTACAAAGATACCGGAGGCGCCGGAAATTTCTGATGAAGAGTTCGTAAGGTAGGTCAAGAACGTCGAGGACTGCGAATATGTTGAGGTATCGGATCATCTCGCCACCCGAACATTCAGATCAGGAGGTCTTCGATTGACGATCAGACCCCCGAATGAGCTTCATATAAAATCTGTCCACAGAATTCAGGAGAGAATCGTGAAGAAGACCCGAGAGCAAACAATGGATGAATACAACGCTGAAACGAGCGGCAGACGCAATATCCCAGATGAGATCCTGGAAGCCAGCGCCCTTGATCTATCAAGTTCGTATAACCACCCGAGTTGGCCATCGAAAGAAGTTGCGAATTCCCTCCTTCGATTCCTAGTCACTGTCCGGGTAGGAAAAAACTCGATTGAATACGGTCTTCCCAGGCGATGAAGAGAGGGACGATGACGCCGACGGCCTCAGCTCATCGGATGAAGATGGCAGAGAAGAGGATACAAATGGCCGAAACAGTCGAATAGACTTCGTACCAATCGCAGAGCGAGATGAATGTTCCGCTCCCACCTGTTTATCGCGTGAGCTATCGGAGTTCAAACCTGTCGTTCAGAATTGAAACCATGACCGAGTCATTGACGAAGATTTGTGTGGAGTCCCGTGCAGTGGGCGTTTACAGGATTCTTCGTTGGGGGGGGGGGGGGGGGC